AGACTTTGCAGAGGGAATTCAAAGAAATGAAAGGCACCTGGGCCAGCAAGTGAACCTGATTGGTTCTGTTTACCATTGGGTTAAACAAAATATAACATTTTGTTTTGTGCAATGGTAAATGTGATACTGTAATTACTATTCTGTTGAGTAGAATATTTTTACATATTTTATTTTGCAGAATGGGGAATACAGTGTAGATATTTGTTTTTGTAAATAGCATTTGTTCGATTCTTAAAAATGCAGTTGTGTTTTTTTTTATGCGAGGACGCATAAAGCTGGGGTGGGGGTGATGAAACGGAAAGCCGTTTTCTATATTTTCATTATAGCGAAAGTTATTGCCCTTGTCATTTTAATAACTAATTATATATGTGCTTAAATAAATACTTAATTAGTGTTGAATTTGAATTAAAGTTATCAATAATAATCTTTGTATGTTACACTAGTTGGATTACTAAAGATTGGTTGATTGGAAGCTTGATTCGTGTTTTAATTACTTTGTAAATAAATAATCACTAAGTATTTTAGATGGTGTTAGGATATATAGGATTTTTACTGGCGAGGATTGCGAGGTCGGTTCTAGAGGTAAAACTTGACAAACCTGTGTGTGTACATATAAGTGTGCGGACTTCCCTGCTTATATTGTACTGTTTTAAGTAGTAAGTGTGTGGTCATCCCTGCTTATTACTTGACAGAGTGTGTGGTCATCCCTGCTCTGTGATTGGCATCTTAAAGTAGCAAGTGTGCGGACATCCCTGCTTGTTGCTGCGCAAGATCAGGTGTGTGGACATCCCTGCCTGCATCTTGTGGTAGAGCATTGGTGTGCGGAAATCCCTGCCAGTGTCTCTAGGCTAGAACCGTATTAGTGTCAAGTGTGTGGTCATCCCTGCTTGTCACTGCGCAAGGGCAAGTGTGCGGTCATCCCTGCTTGTCTCTTGTGGAAGTGCGCTGGTGTGTGGACTTCCCTGCCAGTGTCACTTGTTCGCTACCAGTAAAGACTTTATATAACGCAGTACCAAGTGATTAAGACTGCGCATTGTACATATTTGTAGCATCTCAAGGCTATCCGTTTTTATCACGGGTACGAGCCTGCGGGGGTTCACAGGCAGTGACCTCCCTTGCACGTTACAATTCAAGATAATTTTTACCATTCTGCTTTTCCTGATAAGATTCACCTGGCTTGGTATACTTTTCTAAAGATTATCTTACACTTTTTAAAATTTATTTTCATCTGTTAACTTTTACTGAGTGTGTTTTATCCATTTTTGTATTTTATTGAAATATTACTAAAATTTTCCAAGTCTATTTCATTTTGCAGTTTTTTGGAGAAAAAATTCTAAGAATTATCCACCATTCTAAACTTGAGACATGATATTAAGTCTCCTCCAAAGATAAAAATGTTTGTATCATCTGTCCTTAATTATTATTGTAATGAGCAGGGAGACTTAATTTTTTTTAAGGTTTTGTGCGAGTTATTGCTGTGTAATTTAATGAAGCCACATAGGCACATTTATATCAAGCATAATAAAAAATAACCACAAACAAGTCACAGTGATTCAACACTGCCTAATAAATTGATTTGGTTTGTATCTGTATCCATGCAATCCTCCCATTTCCAAGCCCCTGGGATTCATGGAAATTTCACGATTTAATAAACGTTTCTTAATTTCAAACAGTAACTCGATCCCTTGCCACATTTGAACAAACAACATGACGGCTAGGATTATCACAACTTACGCTTTCAAAGCAGATGTAGTTGTATATCTTTTTGATTATTTACTTAGGTTGCGTAAAGGGATTTTGGGGAGAAAACTGCACCGAAGAGTGTAATGAGCAATGTCGTAATAAAAACTGCAATCCTGAAAATGGAATTTGTGTTTATGGCTGCGAAGAAACTTTTGAAGGGAATAAATGTGAAGGTAATTATTTTATGTTTTATCTTGGGTTTTTCTTTTTACATGAAACATTTTTATACATAATTATATATTTGTATAATAATTAATACAATCATTTGTCATATATTTAAAAATTATGTATGTTAATTACTTTTTTTATTGTTTCAACAAAACAAGGCACAGTTTATTAAAAAAAAAAAGTGTGTTCATGCACTTTTTAAAAGTTACATATTGCCAGTGGGTACCGTTTATGCCCCGTTGTAAGTACATCTATGTAAGTCTAGCTTTCATTTAAAACACTTTTTATTTGAAAGAGTCTAGATGGGAAGAAAAGATAACAAATACTGTGACTTATCAATAAATAATACGTCTTCTAAGGGATACCAAGGAACAATAAATAATTTCATTTATATGTTTGTATGCATTATCCTAGGGAACTTGAAATAAAAGATATCACTAAGTCAAGCAAATCTGTTTCAAATTTGGAAGTTTATTTCTAGAATTATACGTTAACATTCTCTTATTACTTTGAGCAATTTACACTGTACCATAACGTAAAGCTACATCGCTAAAAAATTATAATATTGTTTACTTTACAGTCTTACACTCTTTACTGTGTCTGTTTACTAGCTAATGAAATAATATATTTTGTTAATTATAATGTGAATTTTACAGAATGATTCTATAATTTCGACGTTTTATACAACTTTTTTTCTGGAATATATATCATCAAATCATTGAGATATTTTAAAGCGTCCCTTTCCTCATCTCTTTTACTTGTTAAGATTTCATTTTATGCCTCACAGGTTTTATTTCAAACAAAACTGTCATACACTTATGGAAGCTTGCACACCAATCATTAAGGTTACAAGTAAAATGTAAATAAACTACTCGATACACCGATGCATTTTACAATTCTTTCGCTTAGTATCCAACATTGTTTACTTAATTGAGTCGTCATAACTGATATTATTGAATAATAATTCACAATTATCTTTACAGTTAGAAAGAATACTACAAAACTCGGTAATTCATGACTTATTTTTGCATGATTATTCAATTGTTAAAATTTGATTACTTTAAATAAAAGTTGGTTTAGGTACTCATTATTTACATTCGTATGAAAGCAATTTATGCTTTTATTTCAGAAGTAATTAAAAGTGATCACAATGTAACCAACATGCTAGTCTATACTGGGATTGGAATAGGAGGGCTTCTGTTACTTATAGTTACCTCAGTCTCAGTTGTCATCTGTAGGTAAGTATTAGTTGTCCAGTTGCTACTCAGGTTATTTATAAATTGGAAACGAAAACGGCATTTTAACATTTTGAACATCTTAACTCAATATCTGAGGAAAGAAAATAAGTATATAACACGTAAAGCATATGCTGGAATTGTTTATATTGAAGAACATTAAATTTCAGAGCCAAAAGAAAAAAGGAAATGCCAACAGACAGTTTTTCATACAAGGCTATGACACAAAGTGCCTTAGGTATGTAAAAATCTTGTACGTGCACTATTAAAACATTCTTTTGATATTCTGAAATTCATGAAATAATGAGAATGACAAATATAATAATTATATGATAATAAGTCAAGGCAGATTCTTGTTTTGTACTACATGTAAGACGTGCTTTTTATTTTGATTTTGTTTCATTCTTGGCTTTGCTGTGTTTTAGATATAAATAAAATGATTAACAAGGAAGGTATGGTGTCTGTGATATTACAAGATTCTGACGAAGAACCACAAACAGAAAACCAAGAAGAGACAGTTTACTACAATAATCTGACAGTAACTAATGACACTGCTGTAACTAACCTCCTCAGCAAAATAAAAGAAAAGGAATTCAACGAAAACGAAGGTTTTAAAAAGGAGTTCAAGGTTTTTAAAATAACTTGCAAAATATTAAATATTAAAGTTGATTGATAGATTGTTTATTATTAAACGTCCCTTTCAAGAATTTTTCGCTCATATAGAGACTTCACTGTACTGTGGTGAAATGCCTCAAATTTAGTCCTGCATTCGGCCAATGAGCAGTGAGGGTTCCTTATCGTGCCAGCGCCTACCGTGACACTAGACCTAAGTTTTAAAGGTCATATCCAAAAGATCCGTAACTTTCACTTCTAATGCTGAGCGCTTGGCGAAGGAACAGTCACCACCTATGTTTACGTCTTACCGGTAGGTATGACGCGGCGCCGCGAACGAGAATCGAAACCGGGCCTCCCGATCGCGAAGCATACGCTCTACCACTATGCTACTGTTAATGTAAACATTATTCAAGGAAGATAATTTTATGTTTTTGTTATGTTTTGCAATAAGTCTTTTTTTATTAAATGCAATCCTATGTTAACAATATCAAAACTCTTGATATTTTTGCAGTGTCTTCCATGTGGGGAAAGATTCGACTGTACCACTGCAAAATTAGAAGAAAACTTGATTAAAAACAGATTTAAAACGACCTTTCCTTGTAAGAATCTAAACGTATCTCTTCATCTATCTGTATACCTGTCATTCGCTTTATCAATCTGGCATTATTCATTCATAACGGAGATTAACGCAATATTTAGTCTGAAAAAAGGAAAACAAGAGAAAATCAAATAACTAAACCGAAAACAAGATGGTTAATAAGGCTGCTTTTTTTTTAATTAAATTGTATTAAATAAAAATTGTTTTCTTTATTTTTTTTAAGATGATCATTCAAGAGTGAAATTATCACTTGAAAATGGCATTACCTCGGATTATATAAATGCAAACTTTATCAAGGTAAATATGTACATGTAGCATATAATTTAACGTGAAAATTAAAACCTCAAAATTAGTTAGACTATTTCTAGAATGTTTTAAATAATTTTTTTTATTTTTTTTTTAAGAACATAGAAGGAAAAAATGAGTATATTGCCTGCCAGGGTAGGAAAATATTTTTATTTCTCTAAATAATTTTAAAAAGGTATGTAAAATAATACAAAGATTGAATGACTTGTTTGATTCCTTTACTTGAGATAAGTTTGAAAATTTGAAAGTTATTGTTTAAGATTGTTTGTTCACTTGTTTTATATAATAGTCAGTTCATAATTAATACTATAATTTCTTAGGACCGAAAGAAAACACATTGATTGACCACTGGAGAATGATCTGGCAGGAGAATGTAGAATACGTTATCATGTTAACAAATCTCGAGGAAGGTTCAACGGTGCTCATTTATCATAACAGACTACTGATGCTTATAAAAGAATAACATTTGCAAATTCACTAATAATGGCTGGGTACAAGTCTGTGCGATTTTCGAAACATAAATCTCACACGAAAAAAAAAAAATCATTCAATTCCATTAAAATCAGGGTTTCTTTTCTGTTTACAAAATAAGAAGTTATTTATTTGAATTGTAAATATTTTAAAGATGCTGATGGTAAAAACAAAATTAAGAATAGTATTTAGCAGCAGGATTATTCGAAGGTATTTTTATGAGAGGGTGTAATTGTTAATGACATTTGTTACTTAATAAGTAAATAATTTAAACTATAATATTCACAATGTTATATTAAGAAACCTATTGTCCAGAACACAAATAACATTTTTTTTACTGAAGAAATAGACACTTTAACATTTGAGAATTTTCTTTTCAGATTAAATGTCATCAATATTGGCCAAATAAGGGAGAGGGGTTAGACTTAGGCCTTTATTCCATAAGAGTAGAGGAAGAGACGATGTATGCACATTTTGTGATTAGGAGAATGACTTTGCGGAAGAAGTGTGTAAGTTTATAAGTGCTGGATTTTATATGATTACATTTTCACCTTGCAAATACGAATTTTATAAGAAATATACATGAATTATTTTTTTAGGTCAGTGGGTCAAGGACGGTCGTGCAGTTTCATTACACCCAATGGTCAGATCATGGAACTCCAAATCCATTGAATTTTGTCGTTTTTCATAGACACTTTAGACACAAAATGAAGCCAGTTCTGCATCCGATTATCGTACACTGCAGGTGAGGAAGAGAAATTCTTTCTTATGTATAATTGCAAAGAGAATTACATTGCTTTTAGATAAAAAAAAAAAAACATGAGTGGTTTAAGCCAGAAAAAAACTGTTATCTTCATTTAAAAAAACCGGCTTCGTTTGGATTGAAATGGCTTTTAAGATTGAATACTGTCTTTTATCTTCAAATCATTAATGAAAAATTGTGTAATGTTTTGCAGTGCGGGGGTTGGTCGAACTGGGACATTTATTGCCTTTGACGTTCTCACTAGATGCGGAAGTGCTACGGACAAGGTCAATGTCATTGAGTATATCAAGGCCATGCGTAAAGACAGGATGACAATGATTCAAAATGTAGTAAGTTGGCATATTTTTCAATCAAACACTGTACTTGCTCAATATGTCTTAAATCATTGCATGGACATTACTTTTAAAATGAGACAAAATTAAGAAAATAATCATCTGTAAAATTTAACTTTTTCGACTTCTTCTCAAGAAACACTAGTCAAATTACAAGTACAATCAAACTTGCCACAAAGTATCATTGGGTGAAAAAAATTCAAGTTTTTTTTTCTCCAAATGAAAGGCCACACCCTCTTTCATGGGGATATTATTAAGTATTAGTGTAAAATAATGGCATCCCTTAAAAATATATTTCACAAGATCCACAGAGCCAGGAAAGATGAAACTTATACATTGTATGGAAGCATCCTCAGGTAATGTAGGTTCATGTTTGTTTAAATCATGACCCGTAGAGAAAGGGTGGGGCTACAATACACGATTAAAATTTTATATAGATATACATAGGGAAATTCATTATTGAACAATTTTTTTTAACTTTTCCCCTAGCCATTCTACTCAGGTGAGCAATGTGACCCATGGGCCTCTTGCTTCAAATTTGAATTTAACGACTTAGAAGCTTTTTAAACTTTTCTTGTGAGACAACTCCTGCTGATTTTCAGGATCAGTTCATCTTTCTGTATAAGGCTTTGTTCGAGTTCTTCAGAAGAAAAGGAGGGTTCGTCAAACGTGAAGACTTTATAAAATGCTATAGCGATAGCAGCGCACGAGAAACAAGGAAAAGAATAGCAGATGAATTCAACGTAAATTTGATTTTTCTGTTGTTATTTTCCTTATGTGTTACTTTCTAATCTTAAAATGGCTTTAGGTTTTAGCTAATTGATTCAATTTGATCATGTCTGTTATTGTAGAGACTTTCGAGTTTAAAACCAGAATATTGTGTAGACGATTTTAAAATGGGAAAGAAGTATCTCTCACTGAACTCTACAAAATCCGTTTTACCAGGTACTTTTATATACGTAGACAGTTGAATATTTTAAACGAAAAACCTATTTCTGTAATTAGCAATAGCTTAATGTTTCAAAAGGCATATTTCACAGAAAATGCATTTAATTTTATAATACTGCAATTATGACCTAAACTCTAACCTTTATTATCACATAGTTGACCACCACTTGGTGTATTTGACGTCCTACGTACGGGGTAGAGACTCTTATTACAATGCAGTGACTTTGTCGGTTTGTTTTAATTTACATTTTCATTGAAACTATAACCTTTACATGTCTAAAAATATCATAAGATATTCTTATCAAAATTTTAAATATATTGTTCAATTGTTAAAAAGCAAGACTAGTACAATTCCTGTGTGAAAACCTGTTGAGAAAGGAAAAATAAGTATGATTGTAATTTTTTGGCATGTAGTCTTTCACTCGACCGTGTGAGTTTATCTCTGCGCAATTTCCTGCTGCTGGTGCTGCCATTGATTTAGCACGATTGCTTGTTGATCAGGAGTCGCATTTCCTTGTATCTTTGAATCCTTTGTCTGGTATCAGCGAGGTAAAGCAATTAGTACGTCATATAACCCTGATTTTGCGCATTACAATACATGTATATCTAATTGTTATATATTTAGGAACATTCATTGTTTGACAATGTTAATAAGACGTGTGTTTTTATTATTTTAAATCCAATGCATGGGCAAGACTAAGACTAGAACCTTAAGCGTTAAAGAAAATAAAAGAAGCAAAACCATCCAGAAAGATGTAAATATAATTCATGAAAATTTAAGTATCAAGTTCGAAGGGCATTTCAAATAACAGATAAATAATGATTAAAAGTGATTAAATTGTCTTGCATCATTTTTAATTATCCACAAGTCACAAAAATGGAGTTTTATATATAACAATTTCTCTGCATAGATAAAAGATTGGGTTCATGAGGAAATAAAGAATTTCAAGCTGGGTCCGTATGAAATTATCAAAATTACGCAGTCAATTTTGAACACTGAAATACGAAAGACAACTCTTAAGATAAAAGAGAAGAAGGTATACCGTATTAAGATAACTATTTTTTTTTCTCAACTTGAAATTTTTCTTGTGCACACAAAATACCTCAAAATGTTCATAATACAATTTGTAAAATAGTTTGTTGTTACTCTTAAAGAATACAATTTTAAAATTTAAGATCGATGGTATTTATTTGAAAAAGTTAATATTATATATATTAAGTGTTTTATAAAAAAATTTTCTGTTTTAAAGGAGAAAACTTTTCATACCGTCCATCTATATGAATGTCTTGATTGGAACGTCGATGATGTTCTTCCGGCTGATACCTCCACGTTGATAAACTTAATAAAACAGTTCTGTCTTGACCGAAAATGCACACCAGATGGACCGGTGACCTTAATATCCATGTATGTTTCTATGTATCTGTTGCAATTCAGCGTCATAAGTAAAACAAATATATTGGAAATAATAAGCTGCATGGTAAATTACCTTTCAGAAAACTGTGAATTAAACACTTTAATAGTCAATTCCTTTTGATTTCAACTGTATCTGCCTAATACTTTTCAAATTAAAAAAAAATGACCAAGAAAGTTCAATATGTTCCCAACTAACCAAACATTAAGAACCCTGTCCTAACTTAATAATTTACTATTTTATATAAAATCAAATAATCTTGATTAAAAAAAAATGACCAAGAAAGTTCAAACTGTTCATACTGGAAAATATTTTATCGGAAAAAGATATATAAATTTTTCTTTATGATTGTCGTTGATCCAAACTGGTGCTCCATTGAAAATGTGTGTGTTACAGTTCTTGCTTTACCCTATGTACATACGTGTAAATTTGGTCTTAATACAGAGATGGTGCAACATGTTGTGGTATATTTATCGCTGTATATAACGCAATAGAAGAGCTACTTCAGGACAACGAAGTAGATATCTGTACCATTGTTCAGCAATTACAATGTTGCAGACCAGAAATGATTTCTACCAAGGTAGTTACTTTCTGTTCCATTTTGTGTGTGGGTTTTTTTTCCAAATGACCTTAAACAAACAAAATAGTTGATTGAAAAACATAAGTGTTGCATCAAGAAAATAATGTATTCTAATGCTGTATTAAAACATGTTTTATTTATGTAAAACACGACATTTGTAACTCGCAATGTTTACAACAGCAAAGAAATTTTTATTTGATATTTTTTGTTCTTAAATACTAATTTATTTTAACTATTAATTTTTTTTTTCTCCTCCTATTTCAGGTAGAATATGAGTTCTGTTACAAGGCTGTAAGTGATTTTCTGAATACTGACAACGTATATGCCAATATTTAACCGAATTATAAAAAAGAAAACCAAATTGTATGTTTTATACGGAAGTGATTTTGTAGATGTACATATCAGAAGCAATGAAGAGTTTATCATAAGGACGTTTTACCTGAGTGTATATATTGTAACTTAAAAAAAAACTTTTTAATACAAAATATTATTAATATAGCTTACTTTAACATTTCATAATTCTAAATTTGTATAATTAGATGTGTATTTTCAATGTTTTTAATTATGTTTCCACTCCAAAAATATGACAAAATTTGTAAATCTTAGTAGGTCATCCAAATGTATCCTTCAAATTCAGTATTACATGTAAATAGTCACATATTTGTAAAACCTATTTTATGATCCTGAATGGCAACAACTTCGCATATTTTCCAGGAAAAAAAATAATTCCGTACCAAAGTTGAATTAAATCTCTTCATGAATATAAAACTTGCTGCAAATCACACTTTGTTATTGGAATTAATTTTTTGTAAGCTTCATTTAACATGAAAAAAAAAACCCATAAAAATTCAAATATGTTTCACTTAAATAAGTTTGTTAGTTTTTCATAACACATAATAATAATAATCATATGATTTATTACAAAAGGAGAAAGAAATGGTAGCCTTTTATTGAGTCCTATTTTAAATTTGCCCAGAATTATAACAATTAAAATAGCCAAAATAAAACATTGACAAATATGTCTCCTTGTAAAGTAGCTTCGCTGAACGTTAAGTACACAGCTACAGGTAGCAAGTGCAACTAGAACTAGGACGCCAATAGTTAGTTTTATATAAAATGTACATATACGGATCTTTACTTAATCCTTGAACATGGATATAATATATTTAACAAATCTTCAAAATAGACGTGCCTCTAATTTAGCGTGGTCAGCAGGCGGGTTATCACAATACAACTGAATTGATGAATTGGAATTATTCCTTACACCTTCTATCACACGTTATCCATCATTTAAGGCGTGGATCTAAGAATTTTTTATATTTTACCAAAATTAATCCTACCGGAAACCTCCAACTAAGTTATCGCATTCAATACATAAATACAATTATTATTCTAAAAATTGTTGTTGCCTGGTTTAATGATCGTAACAGTTAAATGAATGACAGATACTTTTTTCTCTAAGAAAGTGATTGTGTTTTCTTCGGGACCCCATATTCAAACCTTTCATTCCAACATAGAGATAACAGAAAATTTTTCTTGCTAATAAAATCCTGGTTGCAGTTGCACTTTAAATCGTTCCATTGCCCATCCTTTATTATGACGGCGCAGTGTTCTAGTTGGTGTTTATTATTTGGTTCCCCCTGTCTCCAGTTTTGATATTCCAACTTAGTGTTGGAGAAACTCCACAGAAACTGATCCTCTGTTACAACATCTGAAGCCCCGATCAAGCGGTTTCTGTTATCTGTAACGAGACCCAGCATTAGAAAATGTTTCTGTATTTTCTTTAACATCCCTCATGCAAATCCCGTATAAACATGGGTGTTTTTCACCTTTATTTGCAGTGGAAAACGGAATTCTATAAATCTTTGATAGACATGGAGATGCAATAGAATTTGAGGCTATAATTTAATTGTACACTGGTAGGTATTTGTATACATGTATTAGTTACACGAGGATTGTTCGAAAAGTTCGCCGGGCGATGTCTATCTTCGTTATACTACTTTCAATAAATTTACAACAAGCACAATATCATGTGTACAAATAATTGTTTTGTTGATGTTTGAAGTGTCATTCAATTCAATTTAAAAGAAACCAGTTTACTTTAATTTGAAATCTACATGCTTTATAAACACGGAAAAAAACTAAACTACAATGTAACGTCAAAAACATGGCGCCAAGAATTTCTTAAAAATACCATCCATATACATTTCAATCAGTATACTTCAATAACCACTAATTAAAAATTTATTTTTTGCACTTGACTTTTGTTTTTCTTTCTAACAATTGTTCTCGCTAAATAATTTTCTTTGTCAATGTTCTTTTCGGTGCTTTCACAAGATCAGTAACTCTGACGCACCTATGTCATTCTATGACGTTCCAACTTCTTGAACTTTTTGTTCAGCTTTTACAGTTTCTTAACCTGTCTTCGTCCGATACAGAGACTCTGTCACTCAAATACCGCCTGTACTATTTTTAAACACATGTATAAAATACTTGTGACGTATTTTTTATTCCTTTAATATATCTAAAGTTTATTCAGGGATTTTCTCTAGTGTGATACAAAACTGCATCGTTACATGTATCAGCTGCTCCATGACGTTTGATAACGTCATCATTTTCGTCGTTTTAATGAGGATTTCCTATCTTCTTAAATTGGTTTCTTTTCCACGTAGCAAAATATTTAGCCATAAGTTAGGATATAAATCAATACAACAGTTCTTAATTTAAAGTATAGAATTTTTTTCCGTTTTTTCTGCATTTACCAGAGAAAATATGACTACAGATATTACATGCAGCATGATTATTTAGTGTATTATTTGTGAATTGCTAAATTTTGACCAGTTCCGTATTCAGATTTTTGTGGTTTTTAATTAAAGATAGGTTTGTAAAAAATCATGTTTATTTTGAATTTTCTAATACAAATCATTTGAATTTATTGTTAAAATATTTCTTCCAAATTTGAATAAAATATTGAATGACGTTAAAACGAAGTCCACAAATTTTCGTAATAACCCTCGCATATTATATAAATGTATATTTTACTCCGTTCGACTAATTTAACTAGATGACTCGTATAAGAATCTACACGTAAAGAATTCTGGATCACCCTCACTTACCATTAGTTAATTCTCTATCAAGCCATAGATTTTCGTTCTTCGAATTTATTTCTACCAGGTAAGCTCCATGGTGATTGCAAACACTCTGCAATTAAAGTAAATATTGCAGAATTTAAGATAAAACAACTAAATTTCAAAATATTTTAAGATTTACAAAATTCATTTACAAGTTGAGAACCTTTTTTTATTACAAGAATTTTTCACCTGATATATAGATAAAAAATTGATGAAGGCAGGAGAAATATTCATGCTTAATTTCTCTTAGAAACGACTTTTAAATTCCTGTTTGCGGTTTTTAATGTTTGTGGCTTAAGGAAAAAATATGAGTTTGGAGTTAATCGAATTCGATTATATAAAATGATTTCGTATTTTATTATTGAAAAAAAGGATTTGCAAAAATTGTTGGGGATTAATCTTGTTTTTCCTCGAAATTAACTCAAATGATGCTCACCACCACCTAAAATTTGTTATTAATGTGAAATCATTAGTTTGTGTAGGGTTTAATATTCATGGTTTTTGAAGTATTGAGAAACCCACTAATATAAGACCACCACGAAATTAACATTTCAATGAAATTACAAATTAACATTTTTCAACCATGAAATCAAATCCCAACCAACCATGATTTTTCCCCCAAACCTGGAAATTTGACTCCATGAAAATATATGATTTTACAGCATAATACAAGCGGTTCCTAACGTAAGTTCTCTTAAAACCTTTGGTTTTACCTTATTCATTATAGAAAAAAATACCTGTTCTTCGTTCCAATTACTGCCCGTCAGGTTGTTATACTAACAATGATCTTCAAACCGGAACCAACCGTCACTTCATTCTGAAATTATTTTTTTTTTCAAAGAAAAACAGTTACTTTTATTCATGACACCACGTTCTTGATAATTTTAAAAAGTGAAAGAAGAAGAGAGATATAAGGAAAGCGAGTTACCATTTTCACTAACAAAATAATCCCATCCGTTCCCTGGCAAATCTGGAATAATGTCCTCAGGACTTAAAGAACCACGGAACAGGTTACATAACTGAGTTCGAGAATTGCGTAAAACAGAAGAACATTTGGGGTCTTTAGCACACTCTGAGGCACAATAATCCACGCTTCCTTGCAGAGTTGTAATGTACATGTAATATATATTGCTGTGTCAGCAATTCAGTTACACGTAAAAATTATAAGGCTGATAAACCGTTCTCTGGCAGCTTATACTAGTCTCTCTCTCTCTCTCTCTCTCTCTGTTATCAGAAGGTCGTGAGTTCGAATCTCGGTAGCGACAGACCTATGTATCGGTCTTGTGAAATAAAAATTCTGTTCCTTCGGATGAGACCTTTAAAAAGGCGAAAGTTCCGTTTCTGGCGGGTAACGTTGGCACAACAATCATAAATGATCAATGTACCTGAGTGCCGAGTAAAGGTCAAAATTTGAAGTCCTTCATCAGTAAGTGTGACGTCTCTGTCCGAGTGAAAAATTCTCAAATGAAACGTGAAACAACATACAATAAATCAATCAAAGGGTAATAAATTGTTGGTTAGGCATTACTTAAGACTGATTGAAGGTACTTTAAGATGACATTTATAACATTAAATCTATAGCCAACTTATGTTTGATTTAAGAAATATTATCTTACTTATTTATTTGAATCACCTTAGTTTATCATAAGATTTACTTATCAAAATAACTAAATACCCGTGTACAAATCAAGATCTCCATATAATTTTTAAATAATCAATAATATGTTATAGAAGAGTACTTATAACTGGTTAAAAGGGTTGAACAAGGACTTAAATTCTCTTCTACTTAGATCGATAAAATACGGCTGATCGTTTCCTCATTAGAGAAACGAATTAGGTCACCGTGTCTCGGTTACGCTGTTTCATTTAACACAAGAAGGAAAATTTGTTTGCTTACCTGTGTATGGAATGCAGACGATTTGAGCTTTCGCTGCATTAAAAATAGTCTTTTTAATTTACAAATTTGTTCGTAATATGTATTGATTAATTTTATTGAATATACAATAACAAAATCATGTTCCTGTTTTACTGCTTTATTGGGACTAAAGTCGTGTTGTTTAAATGTGTAGGGAGGTCTATGGTATAGCCCTGCTTAGCTATAAAAACCGACATTCAACAGCAACTTTATGCAATTTACAGTATTTATGCTGCAAAAGACGACACATCAATGTGGTCTAAATTTTTTTTTTTATTCTACAGCCAAACATGCATTTGAATTGTTCATATTTGATAACTTTTCCTGATCTGATAATTTTTTGATGACGTTCGCCATTAATTGGAGAATAATGTTTGCATGTATTTATTTTGGCAATTATAAATCTCGGCAATAATCAAAAGAATGGTAGAATTAACTGAATAACTTTACAACCATTACACGATCGAAAGTTTGAAAAAGCTGTATATGATAATAAAGATTACTGCAGAATAGTAAAATTCTTAAAACATGTTTTATTTAAAAAAATTTTTTTGGCAATTACTTACAATTTGTTTTATCAAGTGCTGGGTGAGATAAAAACATACTTTAATCAAAAGAATCTCATTGAAAAGAAAGTATCTTTATATAATTAACAAAATAAATTTATTTGCATATATTTGAAACTTTTTTTTCAAAATTTCGTAAAAATGTGATTGAAAGTTTAAAAGCTGTATATAATAATAAAGATTACTACAGCATAGTAATAACTCAAATGTTATAAGATGTTTTATTTAAAAAAATAACTTAATTTTTGAAAATATTTTAACCAAAATAAACTCAAAAATATATAACAATTTAGTCATGGATACAATTTGTTTTATCAACTGTAATTTATACATATGTGAATGCGGCCTACATTTATAAAGCATTTTTGTCCGACATCAACAATAACACACGGTACGTATTTTTTCTTGAACATAATAAATTCATCTTCAAACTTGAAAGTCATATATGTATGATCCTGATCTCTCCAAAGTCTCGTTAACGTCGGGGTAATTAAAATTTCATGATATTGAATTGTGTCAGTTCAACTTTACTGTACGAAATATAAATTATGACCTAGAGACAAGACAGCGTGACCTGTTATAGATTGCCATTGATTGGTTTAGATTTTACTGTACAACGTATTGGTTAATTTCAAAGTAGGTCATTATAGGAAATTTGGGTAAAACAAGTATTCTTCAGAGTGTTATAATATTCATCAGTGCAACATAAATATAATAATAATTGTAGTTGATACAGTTTTTTTACCTTCAATGTGGTTGATTATGATGATTTTTGTTAAAACAAAATTATTTGTTTTAAGTCATATCACTTTTTCAATCCTTGATATAGTTTGTAAGTTATGTGCTATACATTGATTGATATTTTATCACTGTTGTATAGAGTAAGGAATGTTTTTATACTTAAAAACATTCGTATCTTTTATTCTTGCTTCTCTATTTATGAACAATTTCTAAAACGAGGTAAGTTATTGATAAAAAAAAAGTCGATGAAACAAGCATATCAACAGTCTCATTTAAAGTCATCATTTCGTAAGTTCTATGACCGATACAATGGCATTGTCATCAAATACAATTTATCATTGAGTCAAATGCTGACTGAAGTATTTCATACTTATTGTTAGTCCATTAATTATACATGAATGGACGACGGATTTTTCCGTTATTTCCCGATCATGACAAGGAGCACACGGCGGGTGGGACCGGTCAGCAGGGGATGCTCACTCCTTCATGGCACCTGATCCCACCTCTGATGTTTAGGAGGTCCGTGTTTGCTCTGCTCCTATTTTGTATTGTTTTATGGACTTTGATATTGAATACTGTTCGTTATTTCCGTATCCTTCATCTCGATGATCCGCATAAGAATCCACACATTAAGAATTCAGAATCACGCTCCTTCACTTACCATCAGTTAATTCTCTATCAAGCCATAAATTTTCGTTCATAGAATTTATTTCAACCAAGTGAGCGCCATGATGATTGCAAACATTCTACAAAAAAATGAAATTCTGTTAAATTATAATAACCGAAATATTCACTGTAACTTTTTGCAAATTTAAATCTAGAAAGCGGTTTATAAAGAATGTAATTTACTGCCAAAACTTATGTAATATCAAGTAACATACTTAAAATAAACTTTAATCCCTTATAACTCAATTTCAGTGTAGACAATTTTTCATCCAAAAATGGCTTCAAATTGAGCTTATTTTAAAAAATAATGTCAAGCGGAGTGAAACGTTATTGATCAAACTCATTGTGACATAGTGCAACTTATGTTATACGATATAAACTTAATCTTTTATCCAATCAATTAAAGTGTTACAACTTCAATTATCAATATCAATTTTATAAAATCTGATCTTTACCTCAGCTTCGCTCCACGTACTTATAGTCAAGTTATGATAGTAACAATGATCCTCAAATCGGAACCAGCCTTCACTGCATTCTAAAATTAGTTTTAACAGAAACAACAAATCTTTACATATGGCACCACTACATATAATTTTTTAATTTTCAAAAAGAAAGAGAAAAAAAGAAAATCACTTTTACCAGTTTCACTAACGAAATAATCCCATCCATTCCCTGAAGTATCTTGAATAATATCTGCAGGACTTAACGGACAGCGCAACAGCATACACATCTGAATTCGAGAATTGTGTAAAACAGAGGAACATTTCGGATCTCTCGCACACTCCGAAGCACAATAAGGCACGCTTCCTTGCACGGTTGAAATATGCATGTAAAAGGTTCCGGGAAGTGAAATGGAAAAATGATAGGGTCTGGAAAATGTCGTTTGTTGGCACTGTGATACGGTATTGGTATTTACGAAAATGGTAAAATTAACTAGGGTGCACAGGAAAAATTGTCCATGATACAACATAATCAGAGATGGATACCGGTCACCTTTCACTTTTTAAATTGGAATGGTGATGTGGTGGGTTAATTATATCATACACAATAATGCATGAGTGGGCATTATCAGGTGAATATCCTAATATTTCTATTAATCATTTAATATTTCTGAATGCTTATCATTTCGATATTACAACAATCATTGATAATTAATTAGAACTATACAAGTAGGTCATCATGCACTCCTGGCATGGACATGGACTAATGTCAATGATGTTCGATACTATGTATCATAATGTTCGACTTCATATCCTTAGCTGTAATTGTTATCCGAAACTTATTGATCACGCTCGTCCATCGTAAGATTTATTTTTAAGAACAATATACTTGTGTACAGAATTCCATATACTAGTAATCCTTTGAAAAATATGCCATACGTTTTGAATTAATTAATTTTTTTTAATTCATTTGTTAAAAATGAATTGTGGGTAACTAAATATCATTATTCATGTGCTCTCCAATTGCCTGTGATTGAACATGTTTCAGCCGACGAGTTTAAAGGTTTCTTCCAGTACCAATTGGTAAGGGTGTAAAACACAAGAGAATTTAGATAGAAATCATATTACACCATGAACATTACCGGTGTTGTAGAGTAGGATTTCACCCGTAGTCAGCTTTCCCTTCCCCCCGGAAATCGTACTCTAAAGTAGGATTTCCACCTGAGGGGAAATCTCACACCAGAGCCAATTTCCCCCTCTCTCTTTCTCAGAGTATAGGATTTCCCCCCTGTTATAATCAATGTAAACCACAGCCGCAACATTTTTGCAAAAAAAGATAAACGACAAACTGATTTTTAAAAGGTAAATGAGTGTTTTTTAAACTTATGTTGTAAGAATTTTGTAAGCATATATTTCAAATCATGGAATCGCAACCAAAATATATAGCATTCAAAAGAAATGTGAACATTCCCAGAATATGATGAAACAGACAAAAAAATGGATGTCTGGATTGTGTAAAATATTAAAATATATTCTTGAAAATGACCCAGTGGAACGCAGTGCAAACTTGAAATTCACTTACCAAAAATAAGCTCAATATATCCAATCGTGTAAAAAGTATTCCGAAAAACTGTTAAAATAAAAGGTCGTAATTCCTTTAAAAATTGAAGCGAAACGAAACGCAGATTTGAACTTTAACTCATCAAGATATAATTATACTCCTATACCAAAAATCAGCTCAATGTCTTCAGGCATTAGGAAAAAGTGCGGAAAACCATTTGAGACACAGACAGACAGAGGGACATATAGACAGACGGACGGGCGGACAGACGCTGGGGAAATTTATAGTCCTTTCCAGTTTCATCAATTTATTTGATTTTTTTAAAAAAAAGGTTTGACGGTGAAGCCAAAAAAAAAATCAGATTGAAAATATTCATGTTCATTTTTCGTACACGTATGTTCAATACATCTGGTCACCATTTTGAAGAAGGAACAATTGTAGCAATGTGCCAACCATTCCTCCTCAAACATAAGCAGAGCAATTATATTTTATTGGGGGAAAATTGGCTCTGGGGAAAATCGCACTCTATAAATACTACACAGAGTAGGATTTCCCCCCGGAAATTTGACTCTGGTGTGGGATTACCGTAGAGGAAATCCTACATTAGAGCCAGTGTTCCGGGGGGAAATTCTACTCTAGAGCCAGTTTTCCGGGGGGAAAGATTTTAGGGGGGGAAGCCTACTCTACAAGACCGGTATACATGTAGTTGTTATATAACTTCCTTATTTGGAATGTACTGGTAATGAGAATGAATTCATCTCATTTTTTTAACAAAGATAATAACATTATGTTCTTCAAAAAGAAATAAGTTGGGAAGAACATGCGATGTATTAATGATGAAAAACCCAGGGATCATTGTTCTTATTCATTGCAGCCACATAATGGACATTTTATTCTATAAAATCAGTAAAGAATACTAAAAGTGTTTGTATGATTAGTTTTATTATTCTTTTGATCCAAGTCATAATTATTTATGTCTTTTCACTATTGCATAGTCGCCCGCGTGGCGCAGTGGTATGAGCGTCTGCTCTATAGAGTCAGGAAGTAAGGAATCGATATTTACGTCGGGGGCTCGAATCCCCAGTGGGACGTGGAGACCGGATTAAAATTTCACAGTATTCACATTTTACAATTATTTTGCTTATAAAGCGTGTGGGTAGCTACGGCATTTAAATAAACTGTGACGTAAAAATACTATGGAATAAAACAAAAAACGAAAAAAACAGGACTCCTTTTTTATTATCATGTCCATAATGATTGCTTTCATAACTTGGCACAATAAATAAATAATGATAACAAATAAATAATATATTGGCACTCTGTACACTTGATTTCATCAGAAAAACAATCAAAAATTCATTTATCATAATTTTAACAATTCTAATTCAAGATTTAAAAACAAAAATACCTTCACCTTTTAACGCAAACAAGCTAGTTATAGCAATAAGTTACATTGTAACAAGTCTTCGATGATGCTAAAGAAGCAAGATTACATTATACAACAATGTGTGCAAATGTGATCAAATAAGTATATGTATACGTATATGTATACCAGAGAAAAAAGTATATCATAAAGAATCGGTTATAATAAAATCCTATCTGAATTCCTATACGTAGAGTTCAAATGATATAATGAACTGTGTGTGCGTGTCTGGTTCCCTTTTGAATTTTTTTTCGAATAAACCATGCAAAGACATTAGAACTTCTTTACCATTGTTCTTCCTTTTTAAAAAAAAAAATGTTGAAAAAAGGGAGAAAAAGATCTCAAAACAGTGTTCAGTAACATAGTTCTTCCCGTGTGCATCCTGTACACAAAAGGCACAAAACATTGTGAGAAAATTATATATTATTCAACAAATAAGTTTTCTCTATTCCCTATTATCATAGTTTTCAGTATGCATGTATTTCTCAGGAACGTTACATTTAATGAGAAATTCTATACATAAATGAATAACAACAGTTGTCAACAAAATATGAAAATGTATCAAAATATGGCAAGTTTAATTTGTTTATTCGAGCTACACATCATTAATTGTAATACTGTAAATGAACACAATCAGATACATAGTAGATGCATATCTTTCATATGAATTGATTATTGCATATACAAATCACCGGTTTATTGGATTTCATAATAATTCCTCCGGAAATGGGATCGTAATGGATTCTCAATTTATAAATTCAGCTGACGTCACCAAAGGATGTGACGTAAGTGTCTAAGGCACCAGTAGCTTGCATAGCGAAGGCGGTGACGATTGCACCGGCGAACATGAAAGGCACAGCGATGAACGATAACCAGGATAGCAGTCCCATCCCCGACAAACCGTGCCCGCTGTAAAAGAAAGAAAATATGCGATAAAACATCAATATGCACCAGTGGCGGATCCAGGAATATTGAAAAGAAGGGGGCGGCTAGTTTTGAGTCGAGGTAGGGACACACAACCACACCAAAAAAATTATAATATTAGATTTATATTAAATTTTATGCATATTTTGGATACAAGAGGGGAGCCCAGGCCCCCCGATCCCCCTCCTCTAAATCCATTGTGGTACGATTAGTATTCTTGAACTATAACTTTCGGCGGAAAGGTAAAAGTCATATTTTGGAGTAAAATAAAAAAAAAAATAATAATGTGTTTTACGGTGTGACCGTTTGGGCGAGCGCAGTTGTACATTCAAAAATACACCTGAAACGTTGATCCACCACTTCAAACGTCAAGTCGCACAAGACATCTAGACTGTGACGTCACACGAGAGCTCGTCAGGGTTTACGGAAACAGCCGAGCGTCTAGTTAAAGCTATAGACCTAGTGCAATTTTTGTCGAAAGACTTTGCAGAGTTATTTTTTTTTGTTTCTTTTAAAGATTTCTACAAACTGAAAACCTTTTATGCTATACGTTATTACTAGTATTCATTTATTAATTCGCGCAAAGAGTATCGGGCAGGAAAGGAATTCTGGGAAGGTTTAACACAAAAATTTGCCTGACGTATGTACAGATTTCATTCCGAACTTCCTCTGTTCCTACACGCGTCAGTCTATTGAGTCTTCTTCGCGACGCTCGCTATAAAATATATTAAAAGTTGAAACAACAAGTACTCAAATTGGGAACAGAGGAAGCAGGGCCTTTTATAAACATCAGAGGTGGGATCAGGTGCAATGAAGGAGAAGGCATTTCACAAATTAAGGCCATTCCAAGTTTTTTTCTCTGTTTAGCGTCCACCCCATCTTTCAAAAACCTACCTACCTATTCGCAAAAAACACACAAGCCAAAACATAAAACACAGGCTTAAAAGTGATAAAAATGACGCCCTTCAAATGATTTGATCTAACTAAACTGCTTTAATAGAAGAAATATCTATTCTTAGGCAAAAACAAAGGATTATGCTTAAAATACACCCAAAATAACTTTTACTGTATAGAATTATTTGGAGAAATTGACAAAATTTAAAAATTTCGATTAAATTAATCAATTTCAGGACTTCAAATGTTATGTGTTTTTTCTTATATGGGGTGTCAAAAACCAAGGCGCACGCGGACGCTAAACATAGAAAAAACTTGGAATGGCCAAAATGAGAAAAAGAACAAATTTGTAAACATGTATGAAATTATCCCTACATTAAACGTATGTTGTAATTCAATGTTAATCCAATGGAAACACTTAAATATATAAGATTTGTGAAATAAAGCGGACAAGAACTCTGGAAAGCAGTTGATTGAGAAAGGTGCTTTTGTCGAATGTTTTGAAACTGGACAGGAGGAACGTGATTTGTTGGTGTCTGTCAACGAAAATATGTAAACGTAAACTGCCCCAAAAACGAGAAGGCCATTTATTTCGCAGAAATAAGAAATATTTTTGAGGGATCTTTAAAAAGATATCAGTTTAAATACTATGTTGCTTGTACAAATGTATCATCAATTTATTGATCATCATATTTTGTTGATTTTATTATTGAGTGGAACCTTAAAAACAACTATCCAAAATATCCATCAAGAAAAGAAATATCACAGCAATGAAAAAAAAAGTTTTTCTCTGCTGGCGCAAAGATCATTCAAAACTGATGATAAAGTATCCTTTGTGTTTCTTTTTCAATTGATAAGGGACAAAATATTTTCCTCATTTCCTTTAAAAAGTTGTTGATGCAAATATGCAAGAGATCTGTCAAGCCCTATCAAATGAAAGATCAAGTTTTCCCTATCACCTTTAAGGAAAAACTTCATCAAAAAATTATTAATTTAATGTTACCTAGATACCTGAGATATTTTATCTCCCTTTTTTTAGATTTCTGTGTGTTTTGTCAAAACACTTATCTTTTTATCTTGACCTTGCTTTTGCATTAGGATACTAGGTTATCTTTTTATTCCCATTTCTTTAGATAGCAGCCGGGTAGAGCAATATGACCTTGTTTAGATCACATATCAGATAAATCTGAAGGTCAAAAAACTTTCTTGTGCTGTGACTCAGCATTAACATGAAGGTTATCAAAATAAAATTTAATGGTTTGTTTTGATATTATATTTCATTCTTACCTGGCATCAGTGAATGACATTAGGTGTTTATTTTTACCAATATCATATTTAAGATTTTGATAAATTACTTTTCTTAAAGACTTTCGAATTTTTGAATGTTTTAAGAATAACGTGTCATTTCACCTGAACCGCTTGGATTCATCAATGTCTACATAGGACTTTGCACCCTTCCTTATATTTAAATGAGTGAATTTAAGGATAATGACAATGCTCAATTTTAATTGATGCTCTTTAATCTTTAATTAATAAAAAGGTTTTTACCTTGTACAACCTGATCCAAAGCGGGCACCCCAGATCATAATAATTCCTCCTAATAATGCCATATGAACCGGAACACCTTTAGCGATACCAAAGGAATCCGAGGATGCAGCGGAAATAGCCCCACCAACTATTGCACCAGTGACATATATAACCTGCAAAGTACATGTTTATTGCTGCAAATAAAATCTCTGGTTATTTGTTTCTGTTTAGGAATGAACAAAACTGTGTTGATTTAGAATTTTTTTCTTAACAAAATTTGCATTGCATGAATAAGGATTAAAAATCGTCTGTTTAAACCTCATAAAAAATTTATTTAATGCTTGAAAAATCATAAATGTGTCGGTTAAGAAGAGTCATTATGTAGAAGCTTCTATCTAAAATTGCTTGAACAACAAAGATGTAATTGCGTTCTGTTTTAGTATTTCCATTTACTATTTCCGTTTGGTTTTGACAATGGTCTTTGTAAGCGTACCTGCCACCAATTAGACACACCCAGCCTTTTCCGACTGAAGTAAGGAAACATTTGTTTTGCACCTTTCGTATAGAATAACTGAGCAACAACTGTGACGTAACTGGAGGATCCACCAATCGTATCCTTCACCAAGAGGATCACGGGAATTTGGAGTAAACCAACCAATGCACCTAGAGTTTTATAAAGTTTTAAAAACAATGAATAAGAATATATATCATTTCAGTTCGATAGCTTTATTTTTTATCCGTGTTCTGTTATATGTGTGGGTGTTTAATATTTTATACATTATTTATTAATCATAGTAGGCATTTTCTCATCAAGATTTTTATAATTCGAATTAAAACAGAAAGGAAAATTTGTTATATTTTCAAAAATAAAATTATTATTTTCATAAAATTATCAGTTTCAGTCCCATCTTCATTAAATCTACTTTGAAACTTCAAATAACCATTCAAAGATAATAATTAATTAAGATGCCTTTACCTCCAAAATAAGGTGGCCAAGCTATTGTTGTAACCACATTAGACCTGAGTAGAGTATCTCGCTGAAAAATGAAATATTTTAACAAAGATAATAATAAGAAACATTAAAAAGCCAAATACATGTTTAAAAGAGAAAAAAAAACTTAGTTGAAAATCATTGTGAGTTAAAATTTTAACGTTTATAACATCATGAATAATACAGTAATTGCAAATTAGTACAATGAGAATATTATTCTGTTATTGTCCTTCAAAAAAATCTCCGTAAAGACGTCTCATTTACTGGTCCGTAATGCGTCAGTTTTACAACATATCGATTTCTCAAAACGACATGGAATTAAACAATATCTGGCTATATTGTCCTTACTGTTGATTTAACTAATAACCATTGACAATTTGACAAAACCAGTGACTATACTTAATAACTTTCAGATAAAACAAATCAATGTAACTATACAATACTTAAATTTCGAATCTGCTGTAGTTTTCATTTTTCATGAATTTGAAATGAACTCGCAATCAGGCCTTTTAGAAATTTAAAGGTATAAACTTACCCCTAAAGTTTCTAAGTCTTTTTCATATGGCCAGAACCATTCTATTATAAAAACTACAACAGCTAATACCACTGCCATAGGAAGAGCGATAGCTGCATATGGCACATTTAATTTTTCATGGACTCTGTAAAAAGGGGATGAAATGATTTTTGATATGTTTGGCTTTAAAAATAAACACACATACACACAAACAAAAGACATTAAAATGAATTTTAATGTTGATTTGAGCCTGAATATTTTACGTAACAATACGACGGTGTCGTTTATACTGATTTTTATTTGAAAATTAAGATAAGTAAATGAGTATATATACATATATTGTCGTGTACTTATTTTAATTTTTAAATTAAACCATTAAACAAAAAAAGTATTACAATTTCATCGATTGTGGTTCAACTTTTTTCACACCTAACACCAATGTTCAAAAACATGTTTTGTATTGGAGCAAGGAAAGTTATAGTAGGTAAATCTATTACTGCACATATAAAAAATTGCGAACATCATATTTTTCGAAAAAAAATATGACAGTACACTTTGTAGAACATATTCTCCTCATTTACAAGACTAGTCGAAAAAAGTTAAATGCTTGAATTTGCTGCCTGAAAAATACACTAATACCTCTAGAAAAATCCTGCAAACCTGCAAGCAATAAATTATCACTTTAGCAAGATCAAGTCTTATGTATATAATTTAATAAAATGTAAATTTGTTTATTATTTATTGAAATAAATCGTACTTACTGTTGATGTTTAATGCAGTACTTTGGTTTCGTTACTGTAGAGAGCTGGGAACCAAGCAACCCGTATGACAGAGCACCAATCAAAGCACCAAGTAAAGTAAAAACTGAAAGCAGTAACATTTAAGTCTATCAATATTATACGGTATAAAATGAAATTTAAAATATAGTACAATGTAATATATGATATATACATGATGTACATGTATTTTTTTTATTTAATTAACATTTAATTCTTTTAATAAAATATGTTCGTTATTGTTGTAAATGGCTTACCAGAGTTTGGGACCCACGCACCAACTTGTGGTAAAACCATACCCGGACACTAGCAATAAAATTGAACATAAAATTATAAATATACATATGGAAAGTTGGGTTGTGATTTAAGTTCATTATATTATGTTCTTATTAACTAGATAAAAAGAAACCTTTCATTGCTATTGTACTGAACAAATTGAAGGTTTTAATAAAAGAATTATAATGTACATAAAAAATAAATTTTGACTATAATAAATTTGAAATAACTTCACTTAAGATTTTGAGATGTTGTTAAATTGCAATGTGAAATCGTTTTATATAAAATATAATTGAGTCTTCACCTAACACCAAAATTTCCATTGAGAAGTTTGTTACGATTTCGTAACTGCACTCATTATTAAACATCATATTCAATCTTTTTTGAATCTGTAAAGAATTTATTGAACAAACGTTTGAAGATACATTCGCCTATTATACATATCTTTTGAACTTTTTCGACAATGTACAAAGGAAATAGATAAGTTGTTCGCCAGATAAGTAACACCCCCCGTGGCCGAGCACATGAAATAGCTTTGTCAGATTCCTTAAAGAATTTGGCTGAAGATCTCGCTATCTTAAAAACTTCAGCGCCAAGATAATAATTGGCATTTAATATTCAGAACAAAGGTTTCTGTGTTAGTAGAACTGTTCCAAATCATAAGTTTAAAATCAGAATGACATGTTTTTATTTAAAGAGATCTTTTATCTCCAGCCTTAGGTGGTAAACCGAAAAATGCATTGTACTTTTCGCATGAGGACTGGTAAAAAAAAACAGATCAATGATGCAGTTCTAATAAACTTCTAAAGAAGTAGACGATTTTTATACGTTCTGCAAGCAAATTTTTTTGACAATTACATGTATAGTGTTGATATAATTATATTTCTTAACCATGTATTTTTTGGAACCAAAAGTCATACTTGCATGATGAGATAAAACATAGTATACTGAAGAGGATGATTCCAAATTATCTAATAACTAAATTCAAAAATCAAACTTAAAATCAAATATCGTCAATCATTTAAATGAATCAACATGTTTCTTATCTAATATGAATGTAAAATTTTAAAATAATATTTTTTTCTTTTTATTTTCAGTAGTCTTTAACCGTCTTTCGTTATATACATGACATTTGTATTCTATCTAATAAGGTACATTGTAATGTAATTTAAAAATAAATAAGAAAATTGATTTTAAAACTACTGTGCGGAAAAATATATTTAAATGTTAAAATATTTAATAGTAATGATTAACGAATAAAATTTTGGGTCTTTGAATGAATATTTGATCACGGAATTTTTCAAGCTCCAGAGACTTTTTAAGTACAAAAAAAAAACGCTATGCATTAGCTTGATTGAATATTGAAATTTCCAAATCAATGAATGAAATTTTAAAAAAGGCTTATTTCAACAGAATATTACAGTGAATGATCTAGAAAATCCAAAATGAAAAAATTCAGCTTACAGCACCACACAGTGACATTCCAATGCCCAACAGAAATGGCCCCACTGCACTGGACAGAAATCCCTTGTCAGTAAAGCAGGAGACGAAGTCTTTTGATGCTTCCTCGAATTTCTGCTTTGTGGCTGGGACTATAGAAAGTATCGCCATGCATAGCTGACCTGCAGTAAGGAATTTCATTTTCTAAATTGCCGCATAAGTATTCTGTTTCTTTTCTTTAATTATATCACCCGCTATTTTTATTTATATATTTCAAAGGCGTCGGAACCGGGGGGGGGGGGGCTAGGGGGGTCGGACCCGTGGGATGGGGGCTAAGGGGGTCAGCCCCCTCCCCCACTTTTTTGAAAAAAATAGACAAAATATACGAAAAATGGGGCTTAACTTTTTTTTGTTTGTTTACCCCCCCCCCCCATTTCAATTTGTGTCCGTCCCCTATGTTGTAGGTGCTCTAAGGAATGGATTGTGGATGGTCTATATTTGATTCTAAAGCGTCTTGTAAACTTTGACGATAAACTACTCGAAGATACGTGAACACGCAATGCATGCATGTATAATGCATAAATGTACACGTTTGTGCAGCATTATAAAATCAATTTCAAACTGAAGAGTTTATTTAGTAAATGTGACCTTGTGAATGTTAGGAGGTATCGATAATAAACAAGTGTTTTTATGTCCCCATATCCTTGCGTCTCTCCGGACCATCCCACTCTTTACACCTCCCTCCTTTCTCTTCCCACACTCTCAAAATTTCTTTTCTTGCAACCCTTTTACGTGTACCCTCTCTTTATCATTTACTTCTACGTTTGTTTTACATTTTTTCTATAATATACTTTAATGTAAATTTGTTGATTCTGATCCGTTGAGAAGCATTAATTTTATTGAAAAAAAAAACTGTTACGCGCTGAATAATGAAGCCTCATCCTCCAGCATAGGGACAGTCAACATTGCTTGACGACGGGTCAACATTCCAAAAAATGTTGACTGCGCAGAATTTCTGCGTGCAAGGTTCACTGTAAGTGAAAAGTTTTTGGCAATGCATGTAACAATTTTAAATTTGAAGATGACAGACCCCAACAGTGTCTCCAGACAGGAGGAGGGGTTCGGGGGTGCAAATCACCAGGTTTTTAGGTATTATCCTTATCAGTGATATGGTTTTCTCTACCTGGAGTATCAATATGGAAAAGGGGCGCTGTCTGGATCAATTTACTTTTATAACTTTAAACGTAGAATAATCGAACTTATCTACCTTTCTCCCCAGACAAAAAAAAAAATATTCGATAATCTATCAATTGTCGTAAATCACGGCCATCAAGTCCTTCAACAGAGAATTATTACCTCCCTCGGTCTTCCCTGTCTGGCTTTATTAATTTTCAAAAAAATCGGGTGTCTTATCTTTTAATTCAGATAATTTTTTTAACAAAGATTTCTATCAGTTCACTCTCTAACACTGACTGATACATTTATATGTCTGGGAGGGGAATGAACAATGTTTTAAACTCTGCAAGGGACATTGATATGTGTAATTTTTTTAGTGCTGTTTTTAAAAAAATGAGAAATTATGAATTCCTTACCTGTTACCACGGCCGAAAGAAACATTTTTAACATGATGAAGTTTTGAAATACCATCTGGTCTCTGATACTCTTTGGTTCAAACACTGAAATTAGAAAATAATGCATGAGAATTGTCATAATTTCATTGCAATTACTTGAATAAATAGATAGTTTTTTTTTATAATTTAAAAACATACATCATGCATGCAGGCTTTATAATATTCAAAGCATGAAGAATATAAAACTATATTAAGCTTACTTATGTTACAGATTTGTTACATAGGCGTCAGAACCGGGGGGAGGCTTAGCCCCCCCCCCTAAGTCCAACCCCCCCCACGTTTTTTGCAAATATGTACATAATATAGGCATTAAAAATTTGGGGTTTACCTTTTTTGTTTTTTTACCCTACTTTCAATAACCCCCCCCCCCCACACTTTCAATTTGCTTCCGACGCCTATGTGTTAACAATACTAACAGCATTGAACATGAATCCTATATTAATCATAAAAGATGAATTCTTACCCCTAGCCTTCTCGAGAGCTATCCCAAACACAATTCCACACAGCCCCACCCCGGCAAGTTTCAGGAAAATTTTCCCGCAATTTTCACATCGGGGCTTCTCGGACGTTTCTTCTTGTTCACTACAAGTGTCATCGGTAAAGCAGTCTTTAGTGGTTTCCACATCGATGTAGGATACCTGGTTATTCTTGGTCTGAATTAATGATGACGTCATTTCGTCTCCAGTGTCTTTGACGTTCCTGTTACGAGAACTACGATGTTTTACTCCGATGTTTTCAGCCATTTTTCAAAAATAAAATTGATATAATTTCCTTCCTTTCTCAAAATATACAGTTTACAATTTTTCAATATAATGCTCTCGTTTCACAAATGGGTATCAAATTTGAACTGCTTTATACATTTTCTACATAACCATGCGCTTAGAATTTCACTTTCATCCTTAAAACATTAAGAGCTCCCCATATTGTCAAGTCACTGAACGAACACAATAGCGCAACTTTCAGTTAAGTATTTGAGCACATGTCATAATTGATATAAAGCCGAGAATGTATACAAACAATGTTATCAGAGCGGAAGTTTATCGGTCATAAATTTTTTGACCTCGATATATATTTAAGGGCATTGTAAAACAATTGATTAACAGTTAAATCCCCAAAGTCACGTTTACAAGTTATGACGCTGCAAAATCAGATTATTACCGCGTTAGGATTGAATGCACGACCTATTCAGATAATATTCGCATCATGTTCGAAACAATTTGTGTCATCTTCAGAAATTTAAAGGTTTAAAGCGAGAAAAATAATTATTGTCATTTTTGCATCGATGCAGCTAATTTATTGGCATTAAATCAAAGACGTATGGCTGAAGACATTATCTATCTGTTAACGGATTGTCAAGATTTGATTATCGCTCGATTTAACATGGCGTAATTATTTTAAACAGATCTTAAAGTTGGTGAAGTATAAAGAGTTACCCCCATTTTGTTCATTTTTTTATTTAATTTTCATTATTACATAATAGATTTTTTTTTTATAAAATATGCATAGAAAGTTCAGTACATATTCCCTGCATTGATTTACTGTGCATCTGTGTGATAGGTCATACAGTCATGTACATTTAGTTAAAATAATTTTGGCCTCCCCGGGAAAATCTTTTAAGTATTGTTAAGTAGTTAGACCAACTTTTTTTTTTAAATTAATTTCCTGAAAATGGTAAAGTGAGAGTTTTTCGCGACTAAAACTGTTGAAACTTCGAGCTTGAATATAGTTTAATTCTTTATTAAATTTCTGCATTTATATTTAGATTGGTTCCCACAATTCTTTTGAAAAATAAAAACTTTATTAATATTGTTCAAGCCTATTTATAATCCATGGATTATAAATTATTTTTACGTATACCTATTTACTCAATATTTTTAATTGTTGTTTGAAACAAAAGTATACTTTTTTTTTGTATAAAGTTACATACTACATATACTAATAAATATGTTAACTTCCATAAAAGGAATGGAAAAAACAGTCGTGATCAGGCACACTTCAAGATAAAAAATAAAAAAAAGAAATCAACATATAGAAGACGAGTGGAAAAATTATTTTCGCGTGTTCATAAATATTGATTTCCCAATCGGTGTGGAGGTGGTCAATTTCCCCTGTGTAATTTTGTTACCGACAAAATTGAAAACGTATTCTCAATCCTATGCCCCACCCTTCCCCTTCACCATATTTTATTATTTTTTCTTAGTTACTTAGTCCCAATAACAAAATTTTAAGAAGTCAAATAAAGATCAACTCTTCATCCAAATTTCAAGTTTTTAATAAGTTGACAGTATCTTTTAGTATAATACATGTATGTCTATATCATAATAAATTATATCTAAGCAGGGGACAGCATCTCCTGCCAACCTAAATAAATATTGTAGCTGACAATTTATTCGCGTCGCCAATAAATGCTGTAAAAATAAATATGAAGGGAATAGTATACAAAGCATAATAAATATGCACTTTTATTGTACGTAGATTTGAATTTTTCGCAAAATTTATTTTTAAGATAAGTTTTGTTTCAGAGATATTGCGTTTTTTATATATTTAGTATACAAAAAGGATTGGGAATAAGTTTTTTTTTTTCAACTTACTTAAAAGAATACATGTATACATGTAAGTTCCTCTCCTTAAACATTTTAAAATTTCTATTATCATATTGTTTGCCCATTTGGGAAATTTCATCTTCAGTGTCCTTGTCATGTATGATCAATAATGAAATCATTCTTTATTTGAAATAGATTTTGGAAAAAAAAACATCATATAGCATCAATTATTAAAATCAAAAATCCTTTTTTTAAATAATTGATTGATCCTTTTTTTTTAATCAAACAAATGTTTAAAGAGGGAGAGAGAGAGAGAGAGAGAGAGAGAGAGAGAGATTACTCAGTATATTATCAACATGTATGATATAAGTATACAAAAGTTTTATCGCAGGATATCATTTATAATTTTTTGTGATAAATGTACATGCAGCTAAATACAAAACTATCTGCTAAAAATCTTTGCTGGAAGAGACTGCTAAAAGTTACGATCTACCGCGGCAGTTCGTCTGTGTGTTTTAAGATAAGACACTTATTTCCTATTAAAACACCGAGTATCTATTTAAACAAGGTGTAGACGAATTGCACTTTGTTTGTTCAGCGAGAAATTATCAAACTTTTAATCAATAAAGCCCTATAATTTGATATGCAGTAATTAAACATGGAGCACGGAAAGGCGCTTAAATACCCGTGTGTCCTACGGACCACTGTCGCATTTTTTTTTAGATAAAGAAATGATTCAATCAATTCACATCTGATAGTGTCATTGAAATTAAAATATTTATTTACAACTGTGGAATTTTTTTAGCATGGTATTTAAGCTATATGCAACGGACGACATTTCATTTTCAGACAGATATGTCTACATGGTAACAGTTAGCTTATTTTCACAACAACTTAACTATGTACTGATGTGTTCTTTCACATATTTCTCCCCACTAACAAAAGTTATCACAAACCGTGATTAATAACAAAGTAGTTCTAAATTCTTCCATCTGTGTTAATTTTAAGCACATTTTCTCTGTTCGCATAAAGAAAAAGTATTTTTTTTTTAGAAAAACGAAAAATAATTCTTTTCATAATCAATACTGCAGGTACAAGCTTAAAGTTTTCTTAAACTTGCTTAACTTTGAACATGAACATGTGAAGTCAAGAGCCCTTACCCGTAAATTGTTCAATCCAGAGGTAGGTCTACCCCATACGCCATAGATGTCCAAAGTGATTGAAAGTTTTTACTTATCTACGATATAACAGTATGCGAACGTGACCCAAATTCATCTAAATCACTGCACACACACACACACATTCACTGTATAATCCTAACTCAATCCGCGCAAACTCTGCTAGCTGAGCAGTTCTCGTTTTAGAGTCAATGACCAATTATATTTAATTACCTACTCGGTCAGTTGATTCGAATATTGTTTTTTTTCTTTCCGAACACATTTGAGGAAGATTAATAAAACTTAAATCCCTTCGCATGAAATATTTATAATTTTAGATAAGTCCGATATTCCGTGAATTTCATTTTAAGCTATCGATATATTGTTAATCGGCTTATCAGCCAGAAATATGCCGTATGAATGAAAAATATATACAGAGACGTGAATACAAAGGACACTTGTTCTAATCCAGGTCCTTTAAAACCCCTCTACTGATTAACTTTATCACCGTGAAGGACTCTAAATCTTAATCCAATTAGAATATATAAGTTAAATTTAATTTGATAGTCTTTTTAAAACCTCTCAACTTTTTAAATAAATTTTAATTCAAAATTTGAAGAGGCTTCGTAGGATTAGAAATACTGATTTAGAATACACATTAAAAGTTTTTTGACGCTTAAATTGGGACAGAAAAAATTTAAGTTTGGCATCTTCGGAGATTTTTTTTTTAAAAAAGATCAATTGTGTTTATTGTTGGTGTTGATTGATTTGTAAAGCTGAGGTTTATTGTGCTATTTGAAATCAAAATAATCCTTATTATGCTAAAACGTGACAAGTAGCGGTCAAATATTTTGGTTTTTGTTATCTGTTCAATAGCGATCGTCACGTTCGCAATTCAGCGCTGGTCATCAATTATACAACATAGCAACGACATTTAACAAAAAAATTAAGACAAGTATTTTTTTCAACTTATATCATGCAACAATGGAATTTCAACAATGATAGATAATATTTAGTCCCGTTTTTCAGCTAATATTGAATTCTGGTGTAATAATATATGCCTTAATTTGTTGTAAATAAGTCGAAATTCGAATAGTAATACGACTTGCTCGTTTTGGACCTAAAATGGCATTTAATAAATTAAGTAATCAATACTCACTTTACCGGAATAAAATTACACATTAAATATTTATTTCACTAAACTATTTAAAACAATTTCCAATGATCATACCTGCGCATAATATTATAATAATATCATTTACGAGATTGCATGACTACTTATAAATTTAAAAAGCAAATAAGAAGGCCAAAAGAATTTATTTAAGAGGTATGCATTAATATAAATTTTCTCAATTGGTCGCCCGCGTGGCACAGTGGTTATATAGAGTGTTTGCTCTAAAGTCGCGAAGTAAGGAGTTGATCCTTATGTCGCGGGTTCGAAACCTACTGCGGGACGTGGAGACCTGTCCTTCGGATGAGACCGTATAGACCGAGATCCCGTGTCGCAGTAGGTGCTGGCATGAAAGAGATCCCTCACTGCTCTAAAGCCATGAGAACCTGAGTATAGGTAAAAATTTGTAACTCTCCATCGGCAAGAAGGTGCGTCTCCATATGAGTGTAAAATTTTCAAGAGAGACGTTAAATAACAACCAATCAATCAATCGATTTCATTGCTATCGCGTCTACCGAGATTTATTTTTCTCTTTTACTGAGAATTATTTATAATGCATTTTCTGATGTACGGAATTGGACATATACTTTCAGATATATGATGTAGACATTCAATTCACTTATTTTAGATCAATTTCCATTTTCTTTGATAAGTTTGTCTCCGTAAGGATATACATGTATGTACATGCATTGATGTCATCTCTCTGAGATCTAACCGAATTTTCAAAAATCCTCCTTAATACAATTTTCCTTTTAAACTTCTTATTTTCATTCAAAAGGATGCAAATACTCCATTGCATGGAAATTGAATAGAACTTGCATGAATACGCACATGTTAGGTAGTTATCTTTTAGAAGACACTCTGAAATTAATCATAATACACAGTACTTAATATTTATGTTTCAATGGCTTAGTTTGAAGAAACATGAACCCCTGAAACATCAGAGGTGGGATCAATCTTATAGTACATCCTTGTCTGTCGCGTAGCGCAGTGCCTGCTCTAAAGTCGCGAAGTAAGGAGTTGATCCTTATGTCGCAGGTTCGAATCCCACTGTGGGACGTGAGACCGGTCCTTCGGATCAGACCGTATAAACCGAGATCACGTGTCGCAGTAGGTGCTGGCACGAAAAAGATCCCTCCCTGCTCAATGGCCCTAACTTCCGTGTATAGGCAAATTTTGCAACTCTCCACCGGCAAGTGGCGGCGTCTCCATATGAGTAAAAAATTCTCGAGAGGGACGTTAAACAACATACAATCAATCAATCATACAGTGCATCCTCCACGCGGCTTGCTTTTTGAAATATATTTATATGATCTGATTGACATACTCACCACGCCCGTAGACGTTTATGCCTGATCCAAATTTTTCACAGAGGCAGATACATATATTTTGAACCCAAAGTAAACAACAACAAAAACTTGCCTAAGACCTTTACATACGTATTTGTATATTTTCTCACATTTGCCCAGTTACAAGAGCAATTTCTCACCAGAGGGCGCACTTCACGTGCTGGAGTGCGTAAAACGGCCCTCTGGTGAGAAATTGTTGCGAGAGAATTGAAAAGGCAAAATAACGCTAACATGGACAAAATGGGAATGAGAAGATTAAGAGAACCAAATTGGTAAAGTATAGACTTAAAATGACGAAGACGAGTGAATGGTCCTTTTACGTATAAAATACAACCTTAATATAAAGTACGATATATTTCATTAATTTGATTAAACGTTTTTAATAAATATGATATAAAAATAATGTATATTTGGTATTCATGGTTTTAAAAAATTCTAAAAACAAAATGTGGGAGTTATAAAAGTTCAGTTGACCTTAAAAAGCACACAAAAAATCTGTCCACTATATAAATGTGCGTCCAGCGTGAAAATTTAAAAGGTGATTTTTCGCTTCGTCATTTTGTTTGCTTGCAATTATCTTGGAGGAAAAATATTTGCATAATTTAAATCTAAATGAAATCCGATTAAAAGAGAATTAAAAGAGAATTCCTAAAGATTTTACTTCACCCTTAATGACTAAGTTAATTTTTTGTTCAATGGACTATTGTTGTTTCAATTACTTCTCTCAATTGGTTCAGGAATTACATAGAGATATTTTGAAGAGGTATTAAGGTGACGTACCGGCTCGTACGTATTTATCAAATTTATTACAATGTTTTATTACATAAGTGATAACTTAATATTACAGAATTCAGCCTTACAGATAGAAACGGATAGAGACTGTCCTCGTAATACTGTTATATTATTTCAAGAGGAGTTCAGTACTTGCGAGTCATATGTAATACGTTTGGTATGGCACTCGCAATTAAGGGGTGTGTGGTACTATAAATAACAATGGTTAAATACTTTGTGTATTATTTTGCAGTAAGCTTTTAAAAAGTTTTACTTTGTTAGAAATTTTGCTAGAATATTTTTTGATTAATGCAATTTAAACTGGAGGTACTGCGAGCACTGAGCTCGCAAAATGATACCCCCCCCCCCATATTAAAATATTATTATAATGACAAAGTCCACGTTTTGCTATGAAAGACCAAACATATTAAAGTGTTAGATCAAAAGTAAAATAAAAGTTTACACAATGACACAATGTGATAAAGAATCTGTGAGAGTCAATCATTAAATCTTATTCAGTGGCCATGGTAAAGGAGGAGTTATGGAAAAGAGATAGGTACCCAGAAGCGTTACGGACGGACGAACAAACATACGGCTAGACGGACGGATACTCCCATCACTATATACATGTACCCCCAGGCTTTTTTCAGCGGGGGTATAAAAATATATAAATGCTAAAAAATGTACAATGTAATATACTTTACGCGATAAAAAAGCGATGTTTTAGATTCTGCTAAAAAAAAAAAAAAATAAATGAATAAAAATTAAATTTTTTAAACCTGTTCACGTTTTTTTTTTAAATTAAATTATTGAATTGTTTAATGCATGTACTGTAAACAAACACACAAATAGCATTTCCTGCAGATCAAAAATAAATCAGAGAAAAATTACTTTCTTTTTAATTTCCGTATTTCCCATTAACCTTTATTTAATAAAGAATCCGAAATTAACCGTTTTCTTTGATTTATTGAAATCCACTTTCCCTTCCCCTCAAGCTAAGTAAGTTATAAAAGCCAAGAAGAAAAGGAAATTCTACGGAACTTAACTTTAAGAATCTAATTTGGGGCTTCTTAATTGATGAACCATCCGTGGGGGAAATTATTCTGGTAAAACACACACACACACATTGAGAGAGAGAGAGAGAGTCAGACAGACAGACAGACAGACAGACAGGGTACTTACAAAAATAAGGCCGTAGATGCAATCCTTGCATTGAGAAATCTTTAGGAAAACAAAAGAACAAAAAACTTCGTATCACTTGAAATTTTCTCACATGAATTATAGTTCCCAATTCCACCTCAACCTTTTTCTTCTTCTTTTCACCTCATCAGGTAGCTTAGATAATTAAAACCAAAAAAAAAAATTTTTTTACCTGCGAATAGTACATAGGCCTATTTTCGGTCTAATTCAAAAGAGCCGCTACGCTGTGTTAAATAAACTTAAGATCCGATTTAAAAATTATTCTCATTGTTGCGAATACATAATTGTAAGCTGGTCTAAAATTCCGGACCTGTTATTTTTAAAAGTCGACTCGACCCACGACGGAAATACAGGCGGAAGGGATTTTTTTTTAACAAGTTCATTGCCCGAGCAAAAATGTTGCGGAAAGGACATACATGTGTTTTTGTACATGTATTTAGTCGGTTTCCACTCTTATTCTACTAAATAATCCGTGGTCTAATTCGTGAGACCTTGGGGGTGGGGGGTTAGGGGGCGGGGTTTTAGAAGTCCTGATTCAGAATCTTTCTTTATTATTTTTTAAATCTAAATTTTTAAATGAAAAAAAAAAATCATTATTAAGAGGAAGTTAGTTTTACTTTATATACTTGTGTTAATTACTATCATTCATACAAACATTATAAATTCGAAAATTTAATTCCCCAATACACTCTCATTTCGTCTTCAATGTTGATCTATACTGAACTTTTTGTATGTTTTTCGGACACACATATCTGTGCAGTTTGGATTTAAAACTAATCTTAAAATGCATATTTTCTTTGCAGAACCTGTCCTTAAACGCATTTAAAGGCTTCGATTTTACATTTTAGACCATGTCTTTTCTTTTACTAGCATTTAAAGATTTTGATTTTTCTGTCTTGGTGCATTTAAATCGCATATAAAC